ATTAGATGTCATAAAAGAAAATAAAAAGATGGAAATACCATTTAAAAGAATGAAACGTTATAATCTATAATAATATATAATAATTATACATACAAAAAAACTTACCACATTAATAAAGTAACAAAAATTTACTATTTGAAGCTAAAAAATGTTTGGGCGGAAAAAGTGTAGGCTATCACATTAATTGGATAGCCTACAATTATATATATATATATAAATATAGATATAGATTACTAACTTATGATTTTAAATATTATATATATATATATATATTATTTATAAGTTTATGTAAGTGTTTTGATAAAAGATTATGATTATCATCATTAGAAGAATAGAGAACTTCAAATGAAAATCATAATCCAGTGCAACTATTATTCCGCCCTTCCCTACATCTCATATAAAGTACTACNCTTGTTTCCCTTATTTTATCTCTCAAAAATATTCTTACTTTTTTCCGCCGCTTAAAAAACGTGCTCCCGCAAGTTCAAAAAGAAAAAAAAGAAGATTCCGGCCAAAATGCCCGACAACAAGACCCAACCGACTGCGCCTCCGGCGCCCACGGTCACTCTGCCTCCGAGGAGTTCGGTCGAGAGCCTGTTTATGGGCGGGCCGGGGGTCAGCCCGGGCCCGATGACTCTGGTCTCGAGCTTCTTCGCCGATAACGACCCTGACGGCGACTGCCGCTCGTTCTCCCAGCTTCTCGCCGGAGATACGTCGTCCCCCGCCTCGGATCCCGGCGCTGGACAGGATTTTAGGTTTCAGCAGAATATGCCGGCGGGGTTGGTGGTGTCTCAGCCGCCGGGTATGTTCACGATTCCGCCTGGGTTGAGCCCGGCAAGCTTCCTTGACTCGCCGGGGTTTCTCCCTTCTAATTCGCAGGTAATTTTGTTCGTTCTTTGCTATGCCCAGGTGTTTGATGGAGGCGATGTTTGTAATTTTGTTAGATTTGATGTGATAGCCGATTGATTCTGCGGTGCTTGTTGTTGAACTGAAACCTCGGCGAGATAAAATAAGTTGTTGTTACGAATTACTACAAATTCAGTAACATGTTCATGTCTTGTTCATCACTAATTGTTTGATCATTAAGGGAAAATGAAGTTGGAACAAACATGAAAAGATTCCTCTTGACCTCTGTGAGAAATTGGAGAGCAAATTAAAGGCCCCTTATTTTGCTAGTAGCAAGAGAGAATTTATTTTAGTTAGTTTTAGCTTCTATTTTTATGTATGTCTGTACTTATCAGAACATTCCTGGAAAGTAGGAAATAACTAAAATTAGCATTAACAAAAAACATGAGATGTAATAAGTTGCCTTCCATAGCTACTCAAGCATAGATTTTTGTTTCATGATCCTGTTTTTCCTTATCCATTGCACAATGAATAGGGAAAATGGATTTACATTTCATGTTATTCAGTTTTGGGTCATTTGGTGGCAGTATGTCAGTTGTAAATTCTAAGTTCTAGCAAATTTTGGAGTTTTTAGGCACTGTCTCAAACTTTTCCATAATCTTCGGCTTGAAATAGGGTCAGTTGGGAATAGCACATCACCAATTTCTTGCTCAAGTGAATGCCCAGCAGGCCCAAATGATCATGCACTCCTCCGAATATCCATCTTTGCAACAAAACGTACCTCCAGCTAATGAGCCGAACAAAATATCTCAATCTGATCAGAAATCCCAATTTGTTAATAATTTAAATGTCGATAAGCCAGCTGACGATGGGTACAACTGGCGAAAATACGGGCAGAAGCAAGTGAAAGGGGCTGAGTATCCTCGAAGCTATTATAAATGTACTCATCCTAGTTGTCCGGTGAAGAAGAAAGTCGAGCGGTCTCAAGATGCTCAGATAACGGAGATTATATACAAAGGGCAGCATAACCATCCTCCGCCAAGTAAGCGTGCAAAAGATAATAACTCTGAATCTGAGGGTCAGATGGGAAATGTGAACAGGAGTATTATTGAAGGGTTAGCTGGTGTTAAAGATCAAGAATCTAGTCAAGTTACGCCTGAACATCTGTCTGGATCGAGTGATGGTGAAGAAGTTGGCAATGATGAAAGCAGAACAAATGGAAGAGATGAGGATGAGCCCGATTCGAAAAGAAGGTAAAACGGTTTTGGTTTTGGCTTCTCAAGGATGGATTTAACAATTTGTCTGAGGTTCTTGATTGATTGAGACAAAAAAAAAAAGGCTAACTTTCAAAACTACAGAATGATACCCGACATTTGAACTCTTTTTTTTTGGCCTGTGAAGAGGATGAATGTGTGACAATAAATCGCAGGGATACATTCTGTAATTCTGAAGTTCAGTATTCAAATCTCAAGTGACCATTTTGCAATTAACCTTTACAAGAAAATATACGTTAACTTTGGGCCTTATGGCACACAGCCCAAGAAAATAAAAAGAAAGACTAAAATTGTTGGGGTAATTGTTGTTTGGGGAGCTTGCTGGAGCTTTGGTGCTTGGATTAAACTAATGAGTACTAACTAAAATTATTTTCTATTCTGTGAGACTTTTGAATTTAGTATTTACGTGTCGAAATATTAACAGGAATGTGGAGGTTCAGCCTTTAGAGCAAGCATCAACACACCGCACTGTTACAGAGCCGAGGATCATTGTCCAAACGACAAGTGAAGTTGACCTCTTGGATGATGGTTACAGGTGGCGAAAATATGGCCAGAAGGTTGTCAAAGGGAACCCTTACCCAAGGTGAAAAACATTACAATTTTTTTTTAAGTCTTTTCATGTAAATCTGTGAATTCTGATTTGTGAAGATTAGATCCAAGAAAATTAGCAACAACAACAACAACAACAACAACAACAACAACATAGCCTTTAGTCCCAAGCAAGTTGGGGTAGGCTAGAGATGAAACTCAAGAGAAACACAAAAAGACTCGCACCGAAAGGAAGAGATCGAAAAAAAAAAAAAAAAAAACGAGAGAGAAAGAGAGAGAAAGGAGCAAAAGGGAACCCGACTTTTAACAAGCTTTGTTTCTCTTGGAGAGTCCACCTTTTGGCATTTGCAATGTCAATGATTACAAGCTTTGTTTTTAGCATGAGATTATTGCTATTGTAATCATGAATTAGCAAGTCAGCTTTGGCTGAATTTAACTTTTAACAAAATACATGCATAGTAATCCTGGTATCGTTACAAATAATAATCCCCGACTAATTTATTAAATTAGCGGATAATCTGTGAGATGAATTCAACCTTGTGAGGTTACTTTAAGTTCAAAAGATAGTTAGATTTTTTTATTTTTTATTTTTTTTCCGGATTTAAGTAGAGATTCACATTTTTGGCCATGTAATCATGCAGAAGCTACTACAAATGCACGAGCTCAGGATGTAATGTGCGAAAGCACGTGGAAAGGGCTCCAAGTGATCCAAAGGCCGTTATTACAACATATGAGGGAAAACACAATCATGATGTACCTGCTGCTAAAACGAGCAGCCAAAGCTCCACAATTGCCACTTCACAGTTGAGACCTCACAACCCAATAATTAATAATGCGCAAATGGGAAATTTGAGAACAGACTTCAGGAACAACGAGCAGCAGCAGCCTTCTGTAGCACTTCTCCGTTTCAAGGAAGAACAGACAACATAAATTTCTCAGAGAAAGTGCAGGTAAAACACAGAACACAATGAATTTGTTCCTGGTTATATATNTTGAACTGATATTGTCTGATTGTGGAAGATTCATTTGTATTTGAAAGTTAAAGATGTGTCGGTGTTATAAGTTGAAGTGGGGATGATACCTTTGAGAATTTATGCTATCTTTTCATTTTCTTCTCAACTTCCGTAGTTAGTTGGGAAAGCACCGGCTTACCTTTATATGCATTTAAGAGCTTTTTCTGCACAGCTCAAACCAAAGTCTTTGAGATTTCTGTAAGGAACAGCAATTTCATTTGCAAAGCTTTTCATGGTTTTCTATCTTCGTTCACAAAAAAACTCTGCAGACAAGAATCGAGCAGTGAAATTTTCCTGACACATGAAAAGAAAGCGATTTTCTGTGTCTGATTACAAGTGGAGAAAGGAAAAAAAAAATTGTTTACATTGTTGATCTTTTACTTTAAAGAGTCAAAGGAGGGTGTATTCAATTAGAACTTTTTGAAACTTTTTAAGACTTTTGAAATTTAGGGGTATTCAATTAAAGTATGTAAACTATAAAAACGAGTCAAGACTTCCTCCATTATGTTGTTGCTAGCAAATATCATTGGTTTTGGATCTTCCAAATCATTCCAGCTGAACACCTCTGGTGGGTTGAAATTTCTCCCTGATCGTCCCCTTCCACAACTGGCATGGCATGCAGATGTTGGTGAAACTTCCCTTAACTTCCCTTTACTCCATAGAGCCTTACTCGCTACCGCTAGTAGTAGAGGAGTGTTGAAAGAGCTAGGTGGTGCCACAGCCCCCGACAAAGACTTGAAGTACCTCCACATCTCGCAGTATATAAACTCTCCTCAATAACCAGGACTGAACTTCGCTTCGCTTCATTTGTATCTTTCGCGGAACTTTAGACTCTCAAAAAATTTACATGTATTCAATTAAAACTTTCTAAGAGTCTCTAAAAGTTGTTCCTTATTCAAGTTAGTAAGATTTTGTGAGTCTTTTAAAAGTGAAGGATTCTTAAAGACTTTTTTACCAAAAGTATAAAGAAAAAATACTTGTGAAAATCTCACCAAAATTGTGAGATTTTACGTGACTTTCATACCATTTTCTCTTCTAATTCTAATTGGTGACAACTAGAATGCTTTGGATTGCAATCTATATATTGTAAATACATCTCGGCCAATGCTGGCGTGAATACACTGTGGAGTTCTGATTGTGCCTGTTCACCTAGTTGGTTTTTTTTTTTTTTTAACACGAAAACAGATTGGTAAGATCAACAAAATGAACAAGTCTGTGTTATAACAAGAGAACGACAAAACGCCACTATTCATTGCTGCTGAGGATGCTCTCTCTCTGCAATTTCACTATAGCAAAAAGTAAAAATCAGATCTAGATCTCAACGCGTGTGTGGTGCGCCTCCCTTCTGACGGGGCTGACCACCGCGGCTCCATCCCTCTCTAGGGCGGTCCTGGCCAGACCCTACTCTTCCAGGTATGTTTGATTTCCCATTATCCCTTCTCTGTTTGGTGGTGCTTCGGCCGACGGGCTGGGTTGGCGGTGTCGGTTGTCGGTTGTCGGTGAGGAGTGGGGTCTGGCGCCGGCGCTCCTGACGGTGGCCGGTGTGTTGGTCGTGATTGTGGCGCTCCCTGGACTCTCGATTTTTGGGGTGGGAATTGAGGTCCGGTCGGCAGATGTGGCTCTCGGGCTTCATCCGTCAGGTCTTGTGGTGGGAGAGGCAGTAGTCCGACTCACCTAGAGGCTGGGAGTTGGTGATTAAGCTTTAGTTCTCTTCATCTAGTTGGTGTTCTGGTTGGGGGTTGGAGTCTCTTTTATTTTTCGCTTTGTAGTCGGTTGGGTGGCGAAGGTCCTGGATGCTGATCGGCTGGAGGAGAGAGTGTTCTTTTTCCAGTTGTAGTTTTGGTGTTTTATGTTTGTTGTGTGTTTTTGTTTCTTTGTGTAGTTGTGTATGTATTAGTCTCCTGTTTGGGAATTGTGTTATTCTCATATTTGGAGCTTTTGTTATTAGTTTTAATATGTTGTGTTTAAGGTGATTCTAGGCTACCTCGGGCTAACTGCTTATGGAGTTAGTCCTCCCAACTAGATTCAGCTGAGTAGTTGACTTATTCGACTGTATAGTAAAGAGCCCATCCCTAATCTCAATTTTAAAGGATTGATGATAAGAATTTATAACCCTTATCCAGCTATTCCATAACTAAGAAGCACAATGTTGTAGCCTCAAACATAAAAGATCAAAGGAGAATTTTAGGGTTATTGAGGGAGGAGAATAGGGTGAAGAAGAAGAGGTCGTCGCTGATAAATTGGTGGGAGAAAACCAGAGCGTAAAAAAAATCAAAACACATACAAGATCAAATGAAGGAAACACTTACTCATTGTCTTGTGAAACTCGGCGAGACGATGGTCGCAGTAAGCACGGAATGTTTAATCACAAAAAGGAAAAACAAGTATTGCTATAAGAAACGCAGAAATAAAAAGCTAGAAATGTTCAAGGTCGAGGGTATTTATAGATGGTGAACATGGGGCCACATGAACCTTGACCGTTGGATCGCGATCTAAATGGGGCAATGAAAGGTCGGCGGATTTGAGGTTGTTGGATGAGAGAGGAGATCAACACTGGATATTAAGGGAAATTGAAGTGGAAAGACAAGCGTTGGAAGCCGTTGGATCGAGACCTAATTGAGGGCTAGTATTCAATGCATCAACTGAAAAGTCAGGCATGCGGACCGTTGGATTAAATGAGCAATGAACGGTTGTAGTTAATGTGGCATTTAATGGGTGCAGAGAACAAGACAGCACGATTCACAGAGAAGTGACGTCAACCTGGCATTTGGGATTGATGGATCTAACAGGTTGGCAGGTTTTGACATTCAAATTTCAAAACAAAGACAGAGAAGGAGATTGAAAAGTACAGAAAGAATAATTGGCTGGTTGAAGTGATTTGATATAGCTAAATTAAAGGATTTAAGGATGAACATGTCAAAGAAAGGGAAAATTAGAGATGCATCAACAAGATTCCAGGACAAATCTACTCTTAGATCGAGTTATTCCAACTCGACCAGAGTGGGGGGAAGAGGGACCAGATGATATGGGATACCAAATCCTAGTCGAACAAACCTAATATATCGCTGACCAAGCCAAGTGAATCGGATGGTCGAACAGGACAACAAGAAGGTCGACGATGGTCGAACATCACTAGCGCGGGACCAGAGTTTTCAGGTCAAAGAGTGTGCAAACGGTACAAGGAGACAACGACAGATCGAGCTAGGGCCAGTGGATGGCCGTTGGAAACTCGGTTTGTAGGTATGGATGGTCGTACAAAAGAACAACGCATCTTCACAGACCAAAAACTACGAGATCACCCCCCCCTCATTCTGGGGTGACGGAGGGATCGTACCATTCGAGCCGTTCTTTTTTTTTTTCATGCTTTTCCCGGAGGTCTGGACAAAGCTGCAATCAATAGGATTTCCCTAAGTCACTACGAATGCCCCCGATCAGTGCAATGGGATGTGTCTATTTATTTATCCCTTGACTCGAAATAGGAGTAGGTTTGAGAAAGGATCTTAGAGTGTCTAGGGTTGGGCCAGGAGGGTCTCTTAACGGCTTCTTTTTTCTTCTCATCGGAGTTATTTATTAGAAAGGACAACACTTGATCTCAGAACAGACAATGTTCTACCTCAGCAAACCTCGAGCTGGTCGCACTATTAGGCAGTCTAATAAGAAAAACTAAAGGATAAAATAAATCTCAAGGGTTAAGAGTCGCACGTGGATACTGTTGGACATAATAGCTAACAATAGAGAAAGAAACACTCAACAACTCTCAAATTATATTATTCAATATTTCTCTCAAGAATACTTATAAAATTATATATATATATATAACACAAAGTTCAAACAAGTTCTTTGGAACTTTGTCCAAAAACTCTATTTCCTCCCTCTCTTGGAAATCTTTAGTGAACACACAAAATGAAAATGGGTTTTAGGATTAATTAAGCCTTCTACTTCCATAATAAGATTTCACAAAGAAGAGAATTATATATATGTGTGTCATTTGCTATGTGGTTATATGTATAAGAACTTATTTCACAACTCATCTTATTTAATGGAAGACCATTAAACTTGAGATGAAACTTATGTTTAATTAATAAAAACTAATTAAACCAATAAGTTCCAACTTTCTGAAACTTCATCTTACACCCATGGATGTAATGTGCAACATGTAACACATGCATGTTACCATTTATTTTTATTTTAACCAAAATATAACAGATATGGCCATGTGGCCTAACAGAGTTGGGCATTCCAAGCAAATCGGGCAGTTTGGGTTGTACTGTCAGGCAACTCAGGAAACCCATTCAGGCAGTCTTGGGCAACAATGTATCATCTTCCTATATAAGAGAGTGATGTATGCCCATCAGCACATTAGATTCTCTATTATTCAATACACTATTTATGGACTTCATCTTCTACAAGTGTTCAGTTAAGCATCGGAGACTCTTCAGTGGAAAATTCTGTCGGTGTGATAGTTATTGCAGGTTCACAGACGGTCTACCTTTGAGAAAACTCAAGTTCAGGCTGTTTCCAGCCAGTTCGAGGTCTTTTGCGTATTAATGGTTGGTTAAAATTATATGAGTAGACAAATAGTGAATTAAAGTTGATGTGATGTATAAAAATGATTTATTAATATTATTTAATTATATTGATAATATTGAGAATAATGATATTTGGCTAAAATTGAGTTAAAAAAAAGTCAATAAGTTAA